CTTCTGCCATGATGGCGAGGCCCCCCAGCCATGCAGAGCTGTGAGTCAACTAAACCACTTTCCTTTATAAATCACCCAGTCTCGGGCATGTCTTTATTAGCAGAGTGAGAACACACTAATACACCATCCCAAACCGTATCAGCAGCCTCCCCTGTGTGCTGTGCTGAGTGGCAGGAGAGCACCATGTTTCCAGCTGATACCTGGTACTTATAAGTGGGATGGCCTGACCTCCCATGGATAAGACTTTTTAGACTCGCCAAATACAAAACCATATTATCAACCAAAGATCATTAAAACTATGTAGCTCTGGAGCAAAATGGACCTCTTATAAGAATATAGTATATGATACAGGAAGCATCACGAAACAGGGGGAAAGGAGATAATATTTGGTATTGGAAAAGTTGGGTAATAGTTTGGAAAAAAAGAGTAATTTAGGTCCATATCTCAAATTATACATTAAAATAAATGATGGGGTATAGATGTAAGACAAATCCTGCTACAGAAAAAAAAACCCAGGAGAAAATATAACTGAACATCATTATCAAAGCCTTGGAGAGCGACGCCTTTGAAAGTCTACAGGCAGGAGAAAATTCACCAAGGAAAAGAGAAGTCAATTTCATGTCGTAAAAATATGTAAAATCAATTTGTAAAATAAGTAGGCAAATGAGAAAAACAGAAAACATGAAGAGTTCATATGTTTATTTAAAAATTCATGTACATCAGTAAGAAAATCATTAATAAATCATTTGTAATAAACAAATGGACACAAAACATAGGTAAGCTACAAATGAGGTAATTCAACTGGTTTGGATAAAAACCCAACCCTCTAGTAGTTAAATGAATGAAAATTAAAATAAGAATTAAGAATCCATTTTATTAAGCAGAACATTAAAAAACTTGGCAGATCTAGTGCTGCTGAGGATGGGACAAAATTGTTAGCTGTGAATGTAAATCCCAGCCCTTTAGAAACCAATTTTACTTCCAAAAATGTTTAAATTGCCTTGCTCCCCTTGACTCAACTTCTAGAAAAGCATCCTAAGAAGATAATATTAAATATGGATACAGTTATTTCTGATGAAGATGTTCATTGCATGATGGAAATATCATGTATGTTACAAACAAGGGAAGAGTTAAGAATTAACTATTTTGTAGACATTAAAAGAAACAAGACTGCAGCAAGATAGAAAATTAAGTATACAAAAAAAAATTAAATTTACATAGCAAGTCAGTTAATCTCTGAGTCTCAGGTTTCTCATTAATAAGGTGTGGATAGGCCGGACATAGTGGCTCATGCCTATAAGCGCAGCACTTTGGGAAGCTGAGGTGAGCGGATCACTTGAGAGGTTAGGAGTGTGAGACCAGCCTGGCCAACATGGTGAAACCCTCTCTCTACTAAGAATACAAAAATTACCTGGGCGTAGTGGTGGATGCCTGTAGTCCCAGCTACTCGGGAGACTGAGGCAGGAGAATTGCTTGAACCCAGGGTTCGGAGTCTGCAGTGAGCTGAGATTGTGCCACTACACTCCACCCTGAAGGGTGAGACTTCATCTCAAAATAAAACAAAATAAAAATAAGGTGTGAATAATAATACTACCTTCCTCCTCTGGTTGCAGTAGGGACTAGATGAGATAATATGTGGTGTGTGTTTAACCCAGCACTTCGTCTATGGTAAGCAGGCAGTAAACAGTAGATAATAATACTGTTTTCATGATTTTCAAATACAGTTAATGCAAATAGAATATGGAAAAAACGATAATAGCTGTGTTAGGGTGTTGGGATTATAGGTGGTAATATATACCTTTTTCTTTCTTTCCCAAACTTTATTACTGAGATATTTTGTTTATAATCTTAACAGCTGTATTGAGGTATACTCGACATGTCATAAAATCTGCCCACTTTAAGTGTACAATTCAGTAATGTTTAATATATTGATGGATCTGTCTTACCTCGATTACAGTGGTTTCATGAACATACACATATTTTTATTGTTGAATTATATAAAGCTATTTACATAATTAACATCTTGAAGCTGTTAAAACACATTACGCACTAAAAGAATGATTAGTATGAAGTGGTATGGAATTTATGTCAAGCCACAGTGAAAGAATCAATGCAGTCCCCTAGGGTTCAAGAGGAAGGCCATATTACCTGTAGCAGACGGTCCTGTCATTTTAAAGATGGTTCATGTGCTCCTAGGCTCTAGTAGAGAAGAAAACCTTAACCACAAGCTACCATGTGACCGTACACCTGGAACTGCCCGTTATGTGCTAGGGGGTCAGACCCATTAGATCGAGTGTGGTCACACCAGCATCAATTCATCGAGAGATTAACATGGCTCAGCCCGGGATTCAACCCAAGTAATAGCAGAGGGCACAAGCAAGGTGGATATGTGGATGGCCCAAGCCTCCCAGGCACCCATATTGGTTTGCCTCACACCTTTTTAGGCTCATACCTATGGATAGAGGCCCATTATGACCAATTGAAGGAATAAAAAGTAATTCGACTTACAGATGTGTTGGTTCCATGTGTGCAAGCTGAGGTAAATGGCAACTGTTTAATAGATGCGCTCAGGATGGCTTTGAAAGGCACTGGGCAAGGCAGAGCTTTCCCAGTGAGACCATGAGAGTACATCATGGGAAAAGTAACCCAAAGTGAGAATCCATACCAAGCTTCTTGGCAGCGGCAAGTGCCCCAAAGATAAGGAACTTTGAAGGGAACTACCTGGAAGACAAGCAAGAAAGTCTGGGGTAGATGCTTGTGGAAGAACATCTGGGGTTAGAAATGACGAGGTAACGTATCGCATGTTCATGCCTACCAGAGTGCCCACCATGGAATAGGCATGCAAGTAGGCAAAATGATTTGAGCAGCTCATGTCACCATCCAAGAACTGCTGTGGTCAAATATGTGGATTGGGCAGAATAGCAACAATGGTGGCTATGGAAGGGCCTAAAAGCGTGGTTTCCCACATACCAAGGCCAATCTAGATACCACTTATGAACGTTTCATCTGCCAGCCACAGCAACTAATAGTGAGCCTCTGATACGGCATGACTCAAGAAGGCCAGTTACTTGGTAGAAAGTTAACCCTGTTAAGGCCCCTTCCATCTTAGAAGGGCCGGGAGTGGATTCTAACAGGCATGGATACCTATTTCAGATACGGCTTTGACTGCCCCACTCAGACCTCAGCCAGCTTTTATCTCTGGGGACGCAGAGACGGCTTTATCTTCCATCATAGAATCTCGTGCAATATGGCATCTGACTACAGGATCTAGTATGTATCAAGGGTATGGAAGACGGCTCATGACAGTGTGACCCACTTGTATCATGCACACCTTCCAAGGGCTGCCTGCCTGACAGAGTGTTGGAATGGCACACATCTGATGCGGTAGGTCAGAGTCATTACTCTAATAACAGGAAACCGTCTCTAAGGATGTATTGTATACATAAGTCAGGCCTCTATACAGCTTTGTGCCGCAATGGAAAGATCTTGGACCTGGGAACAAGAGGTACAAGAAGAAATGGTACGAGAGATACAGGAAGAATTGTGCAGTCGCCACCACAGTGCACCACCCTCAGAAGACCTCTCATGCTCAGGGGTAGTCACTTCCCAGCCCAGGAAACAGCTAATCTGCTTTCTGCCTCTAGAGATTTGCCATTTCCGGATGCTTCATATAAGTGGAATTATAGGATATGTGGTCTTTTGTGTCTGGCTTATTTCAGTTTACAATTTTTAAGAGTTTAAAAACATAGTTTGCCACTGTCATTGTAAAACAAAACAAAAACAAGAATACAACAAAAAACAACTTCTTAGTATGATCGTTCTTGGCATTTTTAACAAACCTACTGGCATTACCCAGGGTCCTGCCGGGAAACAGATGGCCCACTCATCAAATGCACGAGTTTAAAGAAAGGACTATTTAAAGAGAGGCTGGTTAGGGGTTCCGTGAGAAACAGTCCCTGCCCCTGGGCATAAGGAGGCCAGTGGGAAGAGCAGTGTTGCTGGGGCCTGCAGAGGGTTGTGGCAAGAAGGAGGGCTCCCTGGAGGGAGCCATGGCCTGGCAGAGAAGGCAGCCATGGCCAAGACCGTGGCTGGGCAGGATGGGAGCTGGGGGGTGTTGAGAAGATATGCCCCAACCTCATTCACTCCTCCATTAGAGCTGCTTCTGGCCGCTGAACCTAACAACTGGAAGGCAGCTGCCCAGGAGCCCCGGTGCTGCCACCCACAGAAGTCAGCCTCCAGGGCCAGAGCAGGGCAGAGAAAGGCCGAGAGCAGGTCTGAAGGGACCAGTTGAGGCCAGCCAGCAAGTCACTGTTCCCAGGGTGCCACCTGCCCTCGCTAACCTCCTACACTGAGCACTTAATCGCCCAGGGGCACTCGGGGTCCTTTTCACGTGCCAGCAACATGGATATCCTCTTGCCTTTTTCCACGCTGGTACCCGAGCCTGGAATGCTCTGTGTCTTCCGGCCTTCCACCCTCGCTCAGGCATCTCCAGGGGTGGGGTGGGGGTGGCGGTTCTCACCTGTGGGCTCCCACAGTAGGCATTTCATTCTTCTGCCAGAGCATCAGCCCACTTGGCCGTAATTATTTGCTGGCATGACGATCTCTCACACAAAACCACATTCCCCTGAAAGGGAACGGCTGTTTTCTACATGGTACCTGTCATATGGTACGTGGCCAATAAATATTCGCTAAATCGAACAGTGCCCTCTAATTCTTTTGTGTTTCACCCACCCCCACGGTCTACTGGAGTGGGAGATTTATTTTATCAGAGGATTTATTTTAGTGCGCTGCTGGGTGATGAATTAATTTCAAGTCGGAGAGTTTCTCTCTGAGATAAGTAAAGTTCATCACGGCCTCTGATTTTAGGAAGATGTGAATAGCCTGATGAAGGTGAACAGAACAGCTGTGCCTGTCTCTTGTGAACAGACGTGACGCAATTTCCTGACAGTTGTGAGCCGCTCCCATTGCTCACTATCTTCTCTATGGCGTTTCTCCCACAGGAAGTCAGCCTCGCTAACCTTTTTGCTCAGCTCTGAATGGGACTTGTCACCTCTGGTTACGGAGACATTAACCACCCTTCAGACACAAAGACCAAAATGAAGTGAACTCACACCCGCAGTACTGCTAAGGAGAACTCAGGTGAGAGAAGAAACCTTGCTTTTGAAATTACCAGTCCGTTCTCAAACCTCTGCAAGATTCTTCAAGGGAAAGAAAAGAAATTCAGTGATTTTCATACTCGGGCACCCTCCTGGCTGAAAGAGATGCTTCTGTGTGTAGACTTGAGGCCAGTGGCATTTCCTGACTGGCTGCCACAGTGAGCATTCTGTCAGGGGCGGCATCTTCCAAATACCGTCGCTGGCACAGTGTCTCTGGCCGACACCCAGTTTTCCTGCCTGATGGTCAGGAGGCCACAGAATTGGGATGAGTGCCACAAAGCAGGCTGGAGACGATCTAGTTGCTGGGCCTAGGGGCAAAGTTAGTTCTCTGAGGGAAAAAAAAGAGAGAGGATGGCATTTGGGAGGGTGAATACTGGTTCTCTAGAAAAATACAAAATGACTATAATATCACCCAGATTATCATGAAAATGTCCCTTTCATGAATTGTTCAGAGTGGCAGAGTGGTACAGTGAGAAGATGATCCTTTAAGGAGACCCATGTTCAGGCCAGGCGCAGTGTCTCACACCTGTAATCCCAGCACTTTGGGAGGCTGAGGTGGGCGGATCACTTGAGGTCAGGAGTTCGAGACCAGCCTGGCTAACATGGCAAAACCCCGTCTCCACTGAAAATACAAAAATTAGCCAGGCGTGGTGGCACATGCCTGTAATCCTAGCTTCTTGGGAGGCTGAGGCAGGAGAATCACTTGAGCCTGGGAGGCAGAGGTTGCCGTGACTGGGGATCGTGCCACTGCACTCCAGCCTGGGAGTCACAGCGAGACTCTGTCTCAAAAAAAAAAAAAAAAAGAAAGACCCTGGCTCTGGTCACTTACTGCCTGGGAACTTGAGGATTCTTAGGAATCTATTTAAAAATAATATCCTACCAGCTTCCTAATGTAGTCCACAGGGCACAGCTTTGGGATCTTACAGTCCTGAGTTTGAACAGAGATCCTTGTCATTTACCATATGTGTGATAGCGTTTTTCTTTCGCATAGAATTTTTAGCTGGGCACGAAGCCACCAAGCCAAATGCTCCATTTTCCAGCCTACCTTAAAGCTAGATATGATCACGTGACTAAGCTGTGGAATTGCGAGTAGGAGTGTGTGGCTTCCTCCTATGCCCTGACAGTGGAAGAAGCTGTCCTGCCCTTCCCCCTTCAGCCTTTTCCTGGTGTCTGGAATGCAGACGTGCTGGGAAAGTCATCTTGGATCATGCGAGTGTCCCAGGTGACTGGCAGAGCAAACACAATTCATTCCTTGTTTTTCTGCAATTTCAATCCAAGCCTTCCAAAGTTCCACAAGTAAAGTTCTAAGGCACATATGCTCACTGTAAAGGTATACAGACTTGGAAAAAACCAGTTGCAAATGACATGTGTGAGAAAGGATTTCTATCCAGAATATACAAAGAATTCTTACAAACTTATTAATAAAAGGAGAAACAATTTAAAAATAGGCAAAAGGGTGGGCATGGCGGCTCACACCTGTAATCCAAGCAGTTTTGGAGGCTGAGGTGGGAGGATCTCTTGAGGCCAGGAGTTCAAGACCAGTCTTGTCAACATAGTGAGACCCCGTCTCTACAAAAAAATACAAAAATTAGCAGGTGTGGTGGTGCATGCTTATAGTCCCAGCTACTCAGGAGGCTGAAGTGGGAGGATCATTTGAGCCCAGGAGGTCAAGGCTGCAGTGAGCTGTGATCATTCCACTGCACTCCAGCCTGGGTGGCAGAGTGAGATCCTGTCTCTCTGTCAGATGTCAATTTAAAAATAGGCAAAAGAGTTGAATACACATTTCACCAAAGAAGATAGTCAAATGGCTAATCAGCCCAAAAGTATTATAGAAACACAAAGTAAAACCACATGAGATAACATTTCACACCCACTACAATAATCAAAGACAGACAATAACTTTGGGCAAGGACATGGAGAAATCCAAATTCTTAAACATTCCCACTGGTAGGAAGCTACTTTGGAAAATAGTTTGGCAGTTTCTTTAAAACTGAACAGGCCAGGCGCAGTGGCTCACACCTGTAATCCCAGCACTTTGGGAGGCTGAGGTGGGTGGATCACGAGGTCAAGAGATCGAGACCATCCTAGTCAACATGGTGAAACCCCGTCTCTACTAAAAATACAAAAAATTAGCTGGGCATGGTGGCACATGCCTGTAATCCCAACTACTCAAGAGGCTGAGGCAGAAGAATTGCCTGAACCCAGGAGGCAGAGGTTGTGCTGAGCCGAGATCTTGCCATTGCACTCCAGCCTGGGTAACAAGAGCGAAACCCTGTCTCAAAAAAAAAAAAAAAAAAAAAGCTAAATAAAAATTTGCCACATGACACAATGTTCCACTCTTTAGTATATGCCCAAGAGAAACAGAAACATATGTCCATACAAAGGCTTGCATCATGTTCACAGCATTAGTGGCTGAAAAGCGGAAGCAACATAACTGCCCATCAGTTAGGGAATGGATAAACAAAATGAGATACAGTCGCACCATGGAATACTAAATGGAGTTCTAAGTGAAAGAAGTCAGACATAAAAACCACATATGTTATTCCCTTTTTATGAAATGTCCGGGAAAGGTCAATGTCCAGGAAAGATGAGGGTTGCCTGGGCTTGCGAGTGAAGATGGGGATTAATTTGAAATGGGTGCAAGAGATATTCCTGGGATGTTACAGGATGTTACACAGGCTGCGAAACTGGATTATGGTAATGGCGACGTCACTCGATAAACAGCAAAAATCGTTGAATCACGTACTTCAAATGGGTGGATTTTATGATACACATTTTATACCTCAGTAAAGTTAAGAGACATAGAATTTTACACCAACAAAACTGTCTTTCAGGAAGAGGAGCAAAATAAAAATATTTTCAGAAAAACAAAAATCAAGAGAGATCACCATAAATAGATTCCCTGTTGAAGGAGCTTCTCAAGAACATACTTAAGAAAAAAGAAAAATAATTTCAAAAGGAAGTTGGAGGTGTTAGAAGAAATGACCACCAAATAAACAATCTAGGAAAGAAGGACATTTTTAACCCAATTCAGGGCAATCACAAAAGTCTACAGCGAGCATTAATTTAGCGGCAAGATGTCAGGTACTTTCTCTTTACAAACAAGTTCAAGCTAGGATGTGTTTCATCATCAGTTCTTCTCATTTTTTTCCAGGCCAGTAGCAAAACAATGAGAGGAAACAGAGTAAGGATTAGAAAGGAAGAAATAAAACTGTCATGGACTGCAGATTGCTTGATTGTCTTCTCAGAAAAACCAGAAGAATTTATAAATACATTATTAGAATTGATAAGACATTTTTAGCAAAGTTAACGCATAAAAAAATTAATGCACAACTTTTACTTGTTTCCTCAATCAATTTGAAAGTATAACTGAAATAACATTTATAAGAAAGTGCAAAATACTTAGGTGCAGACCTAACCAAGTATGTGCAAAGCTCTTCACGGATAAAGTTTCTGCACTTTACTGAAAGACATTAAAGAAAACTCAGATAAATTAAAGCTAAATCACATTCTTGGATAGGAAGATCCACTGTTGTAAAGATGTCAATTCTCCACAAAGCAGTTTAATACAGTTTCAGTAAAATCCTAAGAAGATCATTTGTGAAACTTAAAAAGTTTTATTCTAGAATTTTATCCTAAAATTTATATTTAAGAGAAAAAGGCCAAGAATAGCCAAGATACTCTTGAAGAAGAACACAGTCTTGGAAATCATCCCGCCAAATAGCAAGCCCTAGAACTAATATAAAGTAATTAAAATGGTACCTACCGTGTTAAAGCAGAGATGGACAATTAGATCAGTGGAATAGCATGGAGAGATCAGAAACAAACCTACTCAGATGGAGAAACTTGATTTTTGTGAGAAAAGGCATCACACATCAGTGGGGAAAGGGTCAGACTGTTCAAAAACAGATGCTGGAATAACTGGTTATCCGTTTGGGAGAAAATAAGCCGAATCTCCACCTCAGATCATGCTCAAAAGCTATTCCATTGATTAAACACCAAACACTGCAAGACAAATTTATACATGTCACCAACTGATCGAGACCATCCTGGTCAACATGGTGAAACCCCGTCTCTACTAAAAATACAAAAAATTAGCTGGGTATGGTGGCGCGTGCCTGTAATCCCAGCTACTTAGGAGGCTGAGGCAGGAGAATCGCCTGATCCCAGGAGGCGGAGGTTGCGTTGAGCCGAGATCGCGCCGTTGCACTCCAGCCTGGGTAACAAGACCGAAACTCTGTCTCAAAAAAAAAAAAAAAAAAAAAAAGACAAGCCATAGCTCTACAAAACAAAATGAGTGAATCTCACAAACATCAGTTTGAATGAAAGATGTTAGGTGCTAAGAAATACTAGAGGATGACTCCATTACTAGAACAGGTGAAATGAAGCTATATCCTTTAGGGATTATATATAGGAGGTAACACAAAGGCAGGAGTGTGGTTACCATTGAGGTGGTGGAGTGAGATTTGCTTTGGATGAGGGAGAAGTAGACAAAGGACTTCTGGGGAACTGGCAAATATTCTCAATGTAGACCTCGGCCATGGTTTTATCAGCGTCCATTTAATATTGATGGTAGTTTGTATGCATGGTATATAGACTTTTATATATATATATATTTATATATATATACGTCCCAATGTAAGAGGAAAAGACTACCCCACCTTTCTCTCATTACACTTTTATCATCTGATAGTAATTGCTCTTTGAACAATTCCTTCAATTGTTCACTGAACAGTAGTTAAACCGTTACAATGTGAGGCGCATGCGAGCAGGAGCTGTGACTCATTGCATGCTCACAGCTTTGTTGAGCATTCAGTAGGTGCTCAATGAGGGGATAGGAAACTGACACGATTTACGGCTAAGCCTGGGCTTATGAAAGGCATCTGATTTACAGGCTAACAACGTTTTGCCCGGGAATGATGGAGCGGGACTCAACCAGTTCCCCTCCCCTGTATGTGGGGACTGTGATCACAAGCCAAGAAC